TCTGCCTGGCTGTGTGTTTCCTGGACGGGGCCGCCTGTGGAGCTGGTTGACAGTTGCCTTTTGCATCTATGCTTCTTTTTCTATGTCTGCTTCTGTGAACCCCAGTGGGCCTCAGCAGATGGCCGCTCACACTGAGTGCTGTGGTGCCAGATAGAACACCATGCAGTACAGATTAATTCAACACTACCTGTTAAAAAGCTACAATCCAACAAAATCTGCCCAGAGTTGTTCCCCATAAACAACTGTGACCCAGCCACCACAGCGATGTCAGATCCAGTAAGTGTCATGTGACACATCACATACTGGTACTAACATGTTTTCAGAATGGATTCATAACCACATAGACTACTCCTCTTTTTACATTTTGAAGAAAAAATACGATCAGTGCGCACACACAGATATGCTAAGCTAATTTTACATAACTGAAATAACGATATTTATTGTGGTTGATTTTGAATTCTTAGGTTTAATGCTTATTAGATTTTTGGCTGGAACATTGAAAACCTCAACGCTGAACTTTTACTTGAGGTGAAGTAAAATACAATCCATTGTGACTTATGATCCATGGTTGAATGAAATCTCCCCAATAATTGTCGGGGAGGATGGAATGTTGCTGAGCTCCATCTATTCCCTGTTAGTCCAGTTCACACATCTATCAACAGGATCGGCAGGCCCATGTGATTTCCGGACTCGTCTTTAAGCACAGCAACTTGTGAAAAAGCTCTTTCAACTGGTGCATCTAATATAGATAGAATGAAGAGTTTAATTGCACCAAGTGCTAAATCCTGAAAGCAGCAGTTTCCTCCAGCATCTTTAAAAGATTCCTCTTCATACCAGAACGCATCGATTGTGAGTGCGAAGTTTATCACACCAGATCCACCTGCTGCTAAAACTAGCATAATCTGTGGCGCCACTACATTAGTTCTGTTGTCAACACCCTGGCAAATTAGCCAATAAGTGATTCAGGGAGGCGTTGCTATGAACCAGTAATGATGAATGATTGGTGGACGTGCGTTTTAATAGGTTAACTCAAAGTACGCTGATCTGACTTTGAACCAGCCCAATCTGGCAACACTGCCTGGTTCTGCTGGAGGTTTCTCCCTCTTCAAAGGGAGTTTTTCCTCTCCACTGTCGCTACAAGCATGCTTAGTGTGAGGGATTGCTGAAGAGTCAAGAGGTCGATGCAATCAGCTGGTTTTCCTTAGATAGAAAACAACCAATCTTACTGAATGATCTGGTTGAATTGTATCTGTAAAGAGCCTTGAGATGACATGTGTTGTCAATTGCCGCTATAGAAATAAACTAAATTGAATTGATCTGTTCAGTTTGATTTCATGGTTCATGTCCTGGATCCTAGCAGCCAGTGGAAAGAGGGTTTTAGTGTTTGTCTCTTCTCCTGATCGTCCACTGTTCCTCCCCCGCGGAGTCCTCTGGATTTTTGGCTCAATTTGTGAGGAGTTTCAGTTTTTATCCAAGTAAGCCTGGCTCCAAGGAGGAGACCAGTTTAAAGGTCCTGCATCAAGTTCTGGTTCCACGTCCTGTCTTGGCTACCCTCTTCCACTGAGCCT